AATAAATTAGAAACCGACACGCTGGTATTCGCCCATTAAACCTGGTTCTGAAAGAAACTGAAAACAGGTGCGGGTTTGTAGGTAAGATAACGGCCCCAGACAACACTCAAAGAGATGGTTAAGCATCAAAACAGAGCCCAGGAAGTTCGCCAACGACGCTGGAATAGTGGGTGTCCGTAATTCGCCAACTCGAGCAACGAGATATATAAGAATAGAGTTGCTGCGTGTAAAAGTCAGTGTATTATAGCAAAATAAGTCTACAAAGCTTTAAACAAGTGTATCATAAGACCCTGTAGGAGACGATAGATTCAACCTTGTGGATGCGTGTCGAAAAAGAGCGCAGGGGAACCTCTGTAGAATTTGAAATAAACCGTGGTCCCGTTTCTCCCCAGCCCTCTGGAACATCGCTATTTTTGTCCGTATAGACAAGTAAGTCGAAGCTACCTGAAACAATTTTAAGTATCCAGTGAGCGAAAAATATTCACACATCTAAAATAAAAACCAACCAAACTAGGACTCAGTGTGATGCTGAAAGTATCTAACATAGACCTTCACGCACATAACGTACAGGCAGTCTAAGGTGCATTAAGTAGAAAGATCAAGGTAACGTAGAAATAAGTGTACATATCTGCAGACAACCAACAAACCCAGCACGAAAGAATGTAAACAGAAAACATTATGCTTTTATGTTGTTTTTAGTAAAGAAGATCACTGATGTCGAGAGTAAAAATGGCCCTCTCACAAGCTGTGACTTGGACGATGCTAGCTAAATTAACCAGTTAAACTAAAAAAAACTTCATTTACACTAAACTAAATTCCAATTGGACTTTGCAAGCGCAAACTGTCACTGGTAAGCGCAGTGAAATGTCACAAAGCAAATACTCTGAGGAGAAGAAGTATCTGCTGTATTTACCAGCAGTATGAGAAACATCTGGAATAATACAACACAATATTCATCTTTGGAAGGGTTTTGTCATAAGTAATAATAATTTACGTTAACAGTTACGAACTTAATGTCACTAACAGCCTTGTGAAATGAGAAGAGTGAAAAGGAGGAATACAAAAGCCAACAATTAATGGAAGCTAGATTAAAGACATCAGAATCCCTTACAAGACGTTGAAAGGGTCGGCAAGAAGGAGGTTGAGGTGAAAATTTGACGGACAATAGTGCCAAGTTCGGCACTGACTTGCTGAGCGGTCTTCGGAGCGAGACTTCTGAAAAAATAAGATGATAAACAGGAACTTGCTTCACATCAGAGGTGTCTTCTCTGATAACATTGAACTGCCAACGCTCAAGAACCTCGTCAGTCTTTGAACATTTAATGGCCAAAACAAGACGCTTGAGAGAACCATTTTGCAACCAGACTGCCAATAAACAAAAGGTCACCTTACCTCGCATCTGATCGACTATGCACTTCAAGTATTTGTCAAGCTCTTCATCAATTGTGATGAGAACAGTCCGGTCAAATTTTTTGACTTGCTTAAACAGTCGTTCTGGATATATTCCCCGAACATAGAGAATATTATTGATGGCAACATCTGAGATAGTAGGGAAAAAAATAGACATACAGAAGTAGTCCGCAACAACCTCCACTGACCCCTTAAGGTCAATAGCGTTGGATACCACCGATGCCTGTGTGGTCATCGGCTTACTTATAAACCGACCTACAGGGACGAAA